ATAGCTATCTTAAACTCAATAGCTGTAAAAACAAATCTTGCACTTCCCCTACAAACCTGTTCATCCTACACTTCTTCATTCAGTAAAGGACATTTTGCTAGTTGCACACATTTGTGTGCAGGTTTTTTATGTAGATGTAAGTTTTTGGCTCATTTGGGTAAATATCAAGGAACACAATTGCTAGATCATATGGTAAGAATGTGTTTAGTTTTGTAAGAAACCACCAAACTGTCTTCCAAAATGGCCATACCATTTTACTTTGCCACCAGAAATGGTGGTATCTGCCTTTGGTGTTATCTGCATTTTAAATGTTAACATGGTAATAGGTGTATAGTGGTATCTCATTGTTTTTGTTTAAAATTCCCTCCGGGCATGGTGGCTCACACCTGTAATCTCAGCACTTTGGATCACCTGAGGTCACAAATTCGAGACCATCCTGGCCAACATGGTGAAACCCTGTCTCTACTAAAACTATAAAAATTAGCCGGCATGGTGGCATCTACCTGTAATCCCAGCTACTTGGGAGGCTGAGGCAGGAAAATTGCTTGAACCCAGGAGGTGGAGGTTGCAGTGAGCCAAGATTGTACCACTGCACTCTAGCCTGGGGACAGAGCAAGACCATGTCCCAAAATAAGTAAATAAATAAAATTCCTTAATGACATATGATGTTGAGCATCTTTTTGTATGCTTATTAGTGGTCTGTACATCTTCTCGGTGAGGTGTCTTATTCAGATCATTTGCCTATTTTTTGTTTCAGTTTTACTAATTCCAAAGATTGTGTGTGTGTGTGTGTGTGTGTGTGTGTGTGTGTGTGTTAAAAAAACTCATAACATGAATGACAGAGCAGATAAATTTTTATTTAAAAAAACCTACAAAATTTACCATCTAATTATTTTTAAGTGTGCAGTAGATTAGTGTTTACAATATGCACATTGTTGTGTAGCAAACCTCTAGAACTTTATCTTGCAAAACAGAAACTTTATATCTACTGAACAACAACTCTCCCTCCATTTCCATTTCTCCCTCAACCCCTGGTAACCACATTCTACCTTCTGTTGTTATGAGTATGATTACCTTGGGTATCTCATGTAAGTAGACTCATGTAGTATTTGTCTTTTTGTGACTGGCTAAGTGTGGTAGATTATGACAGGATTTCCCTTTTTAGGCTGAATAATATGATCCATTGTATGTTTATATCAAATTGTCTTCTCAGTGAAGTGTCTGCCATGGGGGACATTTAGGTTGCCTCCATCTCTTTGCTATTGTGGATAACGCTGCAGTGAACATAGGTGTGCAAATATCTTCAAGATCTTTTAGATATATACCGAGAAGTGTGTCCTTTACGCATTTTTTTTTTTTTTTTTTTTTTTTTTTTGAGACAGAGTTTCACTCTTGTTACCCAGGCTGGAGTGCAATGGCGCAATCTTGGCTCACCGCAACCTCCGCCTCCTAGGTTCAGGCAATTCTCCTGCCTCAGCCTCCTGAGTAGCTGGGATTACAGGCATGCGCCACCATGCCCAGCTAATTTTTTGTATTTTTAGTAGAGACGGGGTTTCACCATGTTGACCAGGATGGTCTCGATCTCTTGACCTCGTGATCCACCCGCCTCAGCCTCCCAAAGTGCTGGGATTACAGGCATGAGCCACCGCGCCCGGCCCTTTTACGCATTTTTTAACTGGGTTGTTACCGTTTAGTTTTAAGAGTTTTTTGTATATTTTGGATACCAGTCTTCTATCAGATACGTGTTTTGCAAAATTTTTTTGTCTGCAGCTTATCTTTTCATTCTCTTAACGGTATTTTTTGCAGATCAGAAGTTTTTAATTTTTATGAAGTCCAACTTACCAATTTTTTTCTTCAGGGATTGTGCTTTTGGTATTATATCCTTTTAGATCATGTACAGTTGTTCCTATGTTGTAGAAATTTTAGTATCGTGTTTTACACTTAGGTGAAGGATCCATTCTGAGTTAATTTTTGTGACAAGTATTATATAAGGTCTGCTTTTTTTTTGTTTTTGTTTTTTTAAATAAAAAAGAGCGTTTCACCATGATGGCCAGGATGGTCTCAATTTCCTGACCTCGTGACCTGCCTGTCTTGGCCTTCCAAAATGCCGGGATTACAGATATGAGCCACCACACCCAGCCTTTTATTTATTTATTTATTTTTGGTCTGCTTTTTTTAATGGCATATGGATGTCTACTTATTTCTAGCAGCATTTGTTGAAAAGACCATTCTTTCTCCATTGAATCACTTTTCTTTTTTTTTTTCATCATTGATATCATATTCATGCAAGAGTTTATTTTTTTATTTTTATTTATTTTATTTTTTTTGTTTGTTTGTTTTTGTTTTTGTTTTTGTTTTTTTGAGACGGAGTTTCACTCTTGTTACCCAGGCTGGAGTGCAATGGCGCGATCTCGGCTCACTGCAACCTCCGCCTCCTGGGTTCAGGCAATTCTCCTGCCTCAGCCTCCTGAGTAGCTGGGATTACAGGCACGCGCCACCATGCCCAGCTGATTTTTTTTGTATTTTTAGTTGAGACGGGGTTTCACCATGTTGACCAGGATGGTCTCGATCTCTTGACCTCGTGATCCACCCGCCTCGGCCTCCCAAAGTGCTGGGATTACAGGCGTGAGCCACCGCGCCCAGCCTTTTATTTTTATTTGAAAGAGAGAGTCTCACTCTGTCACTCAGACTGGAGTGCAGTGGCAAGATCTCAGCTCACTGAAACCTCTGCCTCCTGGGTTCCAGCAATTCTCCTGCCTCAGCCTCCCGAGTCGCTGGGATTACAGGTGCCCACTACCACCCCTAGCTAATTTTTGTATTTTAGTAGAGATAGGGTTTCACCATGTAGGCCAGGCTTGATCTTGAACTCCTAACCTCAAGTGATCTGTCCATCTTGGCCTCCCTAAATGCTGAGATTATAGGCATGAGCCACCACACCTGGCCTGAATCACCTTTGTTTCTTTGTTAAAGATCAGTTGACCATATTTGTGTGGGTTTATTTCTGGTCTGTCTATTCTGTTCCATTGATCAGTTTATTTGTTCTGTTGCCAATTCCACACTGTTTTGATTTCTGTAGTTTTCTTTTTTCCTTTTCCTTTTTTTTTTTTTTTTTTTTTTTTTTTTTTTTTTGAGACGGAGTTTCGCTCTTGTTGCCCAGGCTGGAGTGCAATGGTGCGATCTCGGCTCACCACAACTTCTGCCTCCCGGGTCCAAGCAATTCACCTGCCTCAGCCTCTCAAGTAGCTGGAACTACAGGCGTGCACCATCATGCCCAGCTAATTTTTGTATTTTTAGTAGAGACAGGGTTTCACCTTGTTGACCAGGATGGTCTCGATCTCTTGACCTTGTGATCCGCCCACCTTGGCCTCCCAAAGTGCTGGGATTACAGGCATGAGCCACCACACCTGGCTTGATTTCTGTAAAGTTTAGTGGTGCCAGTAAACAGATGTATTTTCAACTTTTGTTCTTTAGTATTATGTTGACTATGTGAGTCTTTTGAGTTTCCATACAAACTTTGGAATCAGTTTGTCACTATCTGCAAAACTTGCTGGGATTTTAATGGGATGGCATTGAATCTGTAGATCACGTAAAGGAGAATTGACATCTTAATACTGAGTCTTCCTACCCATGAACATAAAATATCTCTGTTTTTTAGATCATCTGCTTTCTTTCAGGAAAGTTTTGAAGTTTTTTTAATAGAGATTCTATACATATTTTGTTGGATTTATGCTTAAGCATTTCATTTTATGATAACTGACATAAACGGTATTATGTGTTGTTTTTTTTTTATTTGGACCTGAAGGAAGAATGGTGTTTTTAATTTAAGATTTCAATTGTTCAAAGCAACTGACTTTTGTATATTAGCCTTATATCCTGGAACCTTGCTATAATTGCTTATTAGTTTTAGGAGTTGTTTACAGGGTCTCACTCTGTTGCCAAGGCTGGAGTACAGTGGCATAATCATGGCTCACAGCAGCCTCGACCTCCTGGGCTCAAGCAACCTTCTACCTCAACCTCCCAAGTAGCTGGGACCACAAATGCACAACACCATCCTGAGCTTTTTTTTTTTTTTTTTTTTTGTAAAAATGAGGTCTCCCTATGTTGCCCAGGTTGGTCTCGAAATCCTGGGCTCAAGTGATCCTTCTGCCTCAGCCTCTGAAAGTACTGGGATTACTGGTGTGAGCCACTGCATGCATCATGCAGATGTTTTATTTGTCTATTTTGGGGGATTTTAAAAATGTAGACAGTCATGTCATTTGTGAACAAAGACAGTTTTATTTATTTTGGAATTATTTTTTTCACATAACATTTCCTCATAGGTCAAGGAATTCTAGAGACAAATGCAAAAAAGCAGCATGAATTTTTAGATAAAACCCGGCTTTATGTTCACTGTGCATCTTTACTAACTGAAACCACTCTGCATTTCCCCAGAAGAGATATTCACTGCCTTCTGCCATTAGAAGTTCTTTGGTGATTGGACAAGAGATTGTTGTTAAAAATACATACATTTTAAGCTCTTTGGCTGAAATGTTTGAAATGCAGTTAGCGATCCATTTTTTCTTACAGAAGTATATTTTTCCTCTGAAGTTATTACTGCTAATTTACTTATTTCCTAATCAAAATCATAACTTTTTGATACACATAATCTCTGGGGAACATAGAGGAGCTCATGGAAAATTAGGGCCACAGTTCACCCAGCTAAGTATTTTGGCCAGGCCCAGTGCCTGTAATCCCAGCAGTTTGGGAGGCTAAGGCAGGAGGATCATTTGAGCCCAGGAATTCAACACTAGTATTTTGTCTTACTGTGACACCAGGGGTCATTTTATAGGAAAACAGAATGGGTTCTAGTTCATAGACTATAATCTTACTTTGAAATGCATATATCCAAAAACTGCTGATGGCTTTTATAAGTTTCTGCTTATCAATGAGCACAAATTCCTGACATTTTTCTCTGATAATGCTATAGTTACTTTTGATTTCTGCTCTGTTTGTGGTCTTAGGTTGGTTCATTCTGGCTCTGGATGTCGATCCCCCTCCCTTGGATCTGACCTTACGTTTGCTACCAGGACAGGCTCTCGACAGGGCATTGAGATGCATCTCTTCAGGGTGGAGACACATCGGGATCTGTCATCCTGGACCAGGATACTTGTTCAGGGTTGCCATGCTGCTGCTGAGCTCATCAAGGAAGTTTCTCTAGGTAGAGATGCTTACTTTTTATTTCTAATAGTAATTAAATGGAACTGTTATATAGTCATGCACTGCATAATGACATTTCAGTGATGAATTGCGTATTCAACAGCAATCCCATCAGGTCATAATACCATATTTTTACTATACCTTTTCTAAGTGTACATATGTTAAGATACACAAATGCAGCCTGGGCAACATGGTGAAACCGTCATCTTTACTAAAAATATAAAAAAAAAAAAAAAATTAGCCAGGCATAGTGGTGTGCGCCTGTAGTCCCAGCTGCTCAGGAGACTGAGTGAATTGAGATGACACCACTGCACTCCAGCCTGGGCAACCACAATCTCACTCTGGTTGCCCAGGCTGGAGTGCAGTGGTGTCATCTCAATTCTCAATCTCATTAAAAAAGATACACAAATGCTTACCATTGTGTTACAGTTGCTACAACATTCAGCACAGTAAAATGCTGTATAAATTTGTAGCCTAAGAGCAATAGGCAATAGCATATAGCCTAGGTGTATAGTGGGCTGTGCAAACTAGGCTTATGTAAGTACACTCTATGATGGTCATACAATCACAAAATCATCTAATGATGCATTAGACATTTCTCAAAACATATTCTTGTCATTAGGTGATGCATGACTGTACCATAATCTGTTTTAAACTATTATCATTTGTACCAGTCTTTAAAATGTGTTAAAATATGGCAACTAAAAGTGATGATGACAGAAAGAAACCTGGTTTCTCTTATTTTATTAGCAGTTTTTTAAAGCCTGATACATGACTTGAAGCACATTTATAATACCATATGTAGAACATGGCATTTTTACAGTTCATCTGTTTTTTCTTAAGAGTGGAGATCTCTATCACCCAGGCTGGAGTGCAGTGGCATGATCCATCATAGCTTATTGCAGCCTTGAGCTTCTAGGGATCAAGGGATCCAGTTTCAGCCACTGGAGTAGCTGCCCAGCATTTCTTTCTTTCTTCCTTCTCTTCTCCCTTCTCTCTTCCCCCTTCCCTTTTTTCCTTTCCTTTCCCTTCCTTTCCTTTTGTTTCTTTCGATAGGGTCTAGCTTTGTCACGCAGGCTGGCGTGCAGTGACGTGATCTGAGCTCACTGCAGCCTTAAACTCTCCTGTGTTTAAGTGATCCTCCCTCCTAAGCCTTCCTAGCAGCTAGGACTACAGGTGCTCACCACAGCACCCAGCTAATTAAAAAAATTTTGTTTTGGAGAGCTGGGGTCTCACTTTGTTGCCCAGCCTGGTCTCAAACTCTTGGCCTCAAGAGATCCTCCTGCCTCAGTTTGCCAAAGTGCTGGGATTATAGGTGATGGCACCTGGCCTTTTCAGTTTATTTATTTATCTTTTTCAAGACAGTCTTGCTCTATCCCCTACACTGGAGTGCAGTGACATGATCTGGGCCTACTGCAACCTCTGCTTCCCAGGTTCAAGCAATTCTGCTGTCTCAGGCTCCTGAGTAGTTGGGATGACAGGCACCTGCCATCACACCCTGCTAAGTTTTGTATTTTTAGTACAGACGGGATTTCACCATGTTGGCCAGGCTGGTCTTGAACCCCTGACCTCAGGTTATCTGTCCACCTAGGCCTCCCAAAGTGCTGGGATTATAGGCATGAGCCATTGTTCCCCGGCCTTCAGTTTATTTTTTTTAGAGATGAGGTCTTACTATGTCACCCAGGCTGGTCTTTAACTCCTGGCCTCAAGCTATTCTCGGTCTTAGCCTCCTGAGTAACTGGGATTATAGGCATAAGCCATTGTGCCAGTTCTCATTTAATCTGTATTTAATATTGTAAGGACTAGCTAGGCAAGGTGACTCACACCTGTAATCCCAGCTATTCAGGAGGCTGAGGCAGGTGGATTGCTTGAGGACAGGAGTTTTAAGACCAGCTTGAGCAATAAATTGAGGACCCTATCTCCAAAATGAAAAATGAAGCTAGGTACAGTGGCTCACGCCTATAATCCCAGCACTTTGGAAGGCTGAAGCTGGTGCACTGCTTGAGCCCAGGAGTTTGAGACCAGCCATGGTTACATGGTGAAACCTCATTTCTACTTAAAATACAAAAAATTAGCTGGGAGTGGTGACATACATCTGACACCAGCTCAGGAAGCTGAGGTAGGAGGATCACCTGAGCACAGGAAGTCAAGCTGCAGTGAGCTGTGATAGTGCCACGGCACTCCAGCCTTAGTGATGGGAGCGAGACCCTGTCTCAAAATGAATTAATTTAATTAAATGAAAAAAAATTAGTCAGACATGGTGGTACACACTCTAGTCTCAGCTGCTCCAGAGGCTAAGGTGGGAAAATTGCTTGAGCGCAGTCCAGGGCTGTAGCGCACAATGATCAAGCCTGTGAATAGCCACTGTACTCCAGCCTGGGCAACATAGCGAGAACTTGTCTCTTAAAAGTAATGTAAGGACTCATTTACCAAGTACTAGATACATGGACTCTCCAGTTAAGAAGATTGAATCTAAGCTGTGGCTAGCCCGCAAACTATGAGTGTCTAGCAAGCTTATGGCTATGGAAAAATAAATGATTTGAAATAGAAGTTCCTCTACAAAAGTTTGAAAACGCCTGTCCAACACTTATTCAAATAAGCACCTAAAGGAAATGAGGTTGGTGGTTTCTTTCCATTGTGGAGGCGCCCTCTTGTGGCTAGTTGTCATGAATTTGGGGTGTTGTGTGTGTATGTATGTATGTATGTATGTGTACACATATATATGTATTTACAAACTTTTTTCTTTTTTTAAATTCTTTTTGGCTTTGCACAAAATAAAAACCTTTATTTAACAATACAGGCAGCTGGGTGTGGTGGCTCATGCCTGTAATCCTAGCACTTTGGGAGGCTGAGGTGGCAAATCACCTGATGTCAGGAGTTTGAGACCAGCCTGGCCAACATAGTGAAACCCCATCTCTACTAAAAATACAAAAATTAGTTGACCATGGTGGCACATGCCTGAAGTCCAGCTACTCGGGAGGCTGAGGCACGAGAATTGCTTAAACATGGAAGGCAGAGGCCACAGTGAGCTATGATCACATCACTGCACTCCATCCTGGGCAACAGTGGGAGATTCTGTCTCAAAAAGAAAGAAAGAAAGAAAGAAAGAGAGAGAGAGAGAGAAAGAAATAAATTAAAAATCAGTATTGAGCCAGGCAAGGTAGTTCATGCTTGTAATTCCAGCACTTTGAGAGGCTAAGGTAGGCAGATCACTTGAGTCCAGGAGTTCAAGACCAGCCTGGGCAACATGGTGACACCTCATCTCTCTTGAAAAAAAAGAGTAAAAAAAGTTTGAAAAAAATACAGTGTTGGAGTTAGGGTGTGGTGGCTTACAGCACAATCACACTGGGATGCTCTGTGTTTCTGTGGGCAGCCGAGGGGTTAAGCCAGCACACTCATGCCCTTTTCTGGCATCTAGGGTCACTGTATCATCCTCAAGAATTCAAGGGGATATGCTTTCCAAAATGAAGAATGCAGCTTGGATGTTCAGCATTTTTTAGTTCTTTTTTTTTTTTTGGTGTTTAGCAGCTAAATTTGATTTTGCAGGTAAAAGCTTCCCAGGCTCATAGTTGTTTAAATATGATGGCTAGAGGAAAGGAAGAGTGAGGACCAGCTGGTTCTTTATATTTTAAAATAGACAAAAAAAAATATTTTGTGGGAATTTTAAACTTTTTTGTTCCTATTCACAGCTGAATTTTTTTGGGGGGGGTGTCTTGCATTGAAACAGCTGTATTTTTTTTTTTTTTTTTTTTTTTTTTTTGAGACGGAGTCTCCCTCTATTGCCCAGGCTGGAGTGCATTGGTGCAATCTTGGTTCACTGCAACCTCTGCCTTCTAGGTTCAAGCAATTTTCCTGCCTCAGCCTCATCGAATAACTGGGACTACAGGCACACGCCACCACACCTGGCTAGTTTTTTTGTATTTTTAGTAGAGACGAGGTTTCACCATATTGGCCAAGCTAGTCTCCAACTCCTGACCTCGTGAGCCACTGTGCCTGGCTGGAATAGCTGTGTTTTTTTTTTACATCAACTTCCTTTTAAAACCATATAGTTGTATTTTAATATCACCTTGGTAACTGTTAGAATAGCTATTATTAAAAAGACAAAAAATAACAGATGCTGGTGAGGATGCAGAGAAAAGAGAACTCTTATACACTGTTGGTGGGAATCTTAATCAGTATAGCCATCACAGAAAACAGTATGACTATTTCTAAAAATAAAAATAGAACTACCTATGATCTAGCAGTCCTACTACTATCTATCCAAAAGAAGAGAAATTTAGCATATCAGAAAGATACCTGTACCCCCATGTTTATTACAGCACTATTCATAATAACAAAGATATGGAATCAACCTAAGTATCCATCAGCAGACAAGTGGATTAAGAAAATATGGTATAGATACACAATGGGATACTATTTGGCCATAAAAAGTAATGCAGTCAGGCCATGTGCAGGTTGCTCACGCCTGTAATCCCAGCACTTTGGAAGGCCGAGGCGGGCGGATCACCTGAGGTCAGGAGTTTGAGACCAGCGTGACCAACATGGAGAAACCCCATCTCTACTAAAAATACAAAATTAGCAGGACATGGTGGCACATGCCTGTAATCCCAGCTACTTGAGGGGTTGAAGCAGGAGAATCATTTGAACCCGGGAGGTGGAGCTTATGGTGAGCTGAGATCCCCCCAGTGCACTTCAGCCTGGATAACAAGAGCAAAACCATCTCAAAGTCATGTCTTTTGTAGCAACATGGATAAAACTGGAGGTCATTATGTTAAGTGAAATAAGCCGGGCATAGAAAGACAAATATAGCATGTTCTCACTCATATGGGAGCTAAAAGAGTTGATCTCCTGGATATAGAGAGTAGAAGATAAATACTAACTGTTGGGATGGGTGTGTTGTGAGGGGCTATGAAGAAGGGTTGGGTAATTGGTATAAACATACAATTAGAAAGAAGGAATAAGTTATAATGTTCAAGAGTAGAGTATGGTGACTGTAGTTAA